GGGTTAGGCCTGGGGTTAGGGATAGGACTAAGGTTAGGGTTAGGCCTAGGGCTAGGGTTAGTCCTAGGGCTAGACCCACTGGGTCCCCGTTCCCCTGAACTTCTCCCTCTCTGCAGGTCCCGGCGTTCCCGGCGTTCCGGTCACCTCTGAGTTTCAGCCCCACGGCGTTCTGAGCTTCAGCGCGCCGCTCATCGCCGAGCAGCTCACCAAGATAGAAACCGTGAGTCCACACAGAAAACGCTCACTTTTTAAAAACTATTTTCAGAAACAACAAACACCCACATCCTCATGTTTAAGCACAGAGAGTAAATTCAAATTACAGACTAAAGAACAAGAAAAGAAAGGGGAGGGGAAAAGGGAACAGAAATGAAAGAACAAAATTCTAATAACCTAAAAAAAAAAAAGGGGAATTTTTTCTTTTTCCTCCTTCTTCCTCTTCTTCCCTCTTCCTCCCTCCGGGGATTGTCCCGATCCGATATCTGGATCCGATCAGCCGGCAGGAGAAAAAATCCAGATCCAGACTCCAGATCCAGTTTTTTCTTTTAAACTCTGATCCCACACGAGCATTAGCATTAACATTAGCATTTGTAACCCAGGTCTGATGCGTAACTGAATGCGTATCGGCCGGCAGGAGAAAAATCCTTTTTTTTTTTTAAGTCCGATCCCACACGAGTATTAGCATTAGCATCTCCTGACCCACAGGTCTGTGTCCAAACCATTAAGACGGGCATGTAGATTTGAAGGTGTCAGTAAAAATGTCAGTTTTTGTGGGATTATTTTATCCCATTATGTGTTTATTCCTGAATAAACAGGTCAGTGTCTCTTTACCAACCTCTGTGTGTTATTCAAACTCCCCTAATTCAGCTGGCTAGTTGTTATCAGAGCATTAGCATTAGCATTAGCATCTGGTAACCGACAGGTCTGTGTCCTAACCATTAAGTTGTTATCAGAGTAAATCCCTGTTCAACATGAGTCTGACGACTAAGTAAGTAGAATAAATAACTTTAACTTTAATTTCAGCCTCAGCACAGCTCAACAGAGCTAAAAAATCAGAGCTCAGGAGACAAAAACCTACAAATAAAGCCAGAAATAGAACTCTAGTTCTGGACTCAGACCTAAAAATCAACATCAGTCTAATGCCAGCCTAAAAACAGAGCGGGAAGTAAAGGATTTCTATATATATTCTATATTTCTATATATATTCTATCTATTTCTATATATATATTCTATCTATTTCTATGTATATATTTCTAGATAAGAGAGAAGTGCTGTGGAAAAACAGCCTTTATAGTCTTATTAGTGGTCTATGAGGCTCTAAATAGTCTGGGAACTAAACTGGTCTTGTTTACTTGTAGACTGAAGCCCTCACACGATCTGGAACAGGTTAACTTCAGTTTATCTGGGACAGACTTCCAGGACAGCTGAGGCCACTGACACGCTTTAAAATCTGTGCTAAAAACTCTCCTGTTTCGGGGGCTTTATTTGTGGCTTCATGTTTGACTTTTAAATGCTTTTTCCGTCACGTTTTCCTGCCACTCAAATGTCATTTTTATCACTCCTTTCTCCTCTTATCTCTGTGTTTTTCCGTGTTCTCATAAATTTTCTCACAAATTTTCCAACATCCGAAGTATCAAATATTCAACTTGACACAGTCAATTTCCAACATATGACATCGAAATCATAGAAAAAATATAAAAATACACAAAGTAAATAAAAATAAATAAGCTAAGTTAGTTTAAAGTTCACTAGGTGAAAGTCAGACTAAGTTAGGGTTCGTCCTAAAGTGCCAATAAAAAACCCTTTTTATTGATTATTTCTTTATAATTTATTTCTTTTTACATCTCTCTTATATAAGTCTTTTGTTTTATTGCTATGTGTAATTATCTGCAGTATTTATTAAGGAGTTATCGTAGGTTTTTGGAACGAATTATAGGAATTACAGTGTATTCTATACAGTGGGAATGTTGGAATTTCACACAGAAACTAATCCTTACGAGTCACTTTTAAAAAAAGAAAACAAATAGAAGGTGTAATAAATAGCTAGCTGTTGTTGCTAGCTACTGTTAGCCGCAAAAAAGACCTGGGTAGCCGGAGATTCTAACAAAATGGTGGACAAGTGTGAGGGAGGGTGGAGTGCACCCTAACCCTGACCCTAACCCTAACCCTAACCCTAACCCTGACCCTTACCCTAACCCTAAACCTAACCCTCCAGCCTTCATAATTGTGAGAAATAAATATTTTTTGGTTAAACTAGTTTGGACTTATTGTACAAACTTATTTAACATTTTTATTTTAATACAATATTACGTATAGAGTTTAACTCAGTGTTTGAAAGAATCATTTCAATATTTTTAAATTAATGTATATATTGCCATGAAGCAATTAGGATTTTCTTGCCTGAGAAAGTGTAGTAAATAGCTAGCTGTTGTTTTGTTGCTAGCTACTGTTAGCGGCAAAAAAGAGAAAAATACTTACCTGGGTAGCCGGAGATGCTAACAAAATGGCGGACAAGTGTTGAAGGAGGGTGGAGAGTGTACCGTAACCCTAACCCTAAACCTAAACCTAAACCTAACCCTTAACCCTAACCCTGACCCTCCACCACTAAATATTTTTTGGTTAAACTAGTTTGGACTTATTGTACAAACTTATTTAACATTTTTATTTTAATACAATATTACGTATAGAGTTTAATTCAGTGTTTGCAAGATTAATTTCACAATTTTTAAATTAACTCATCGACTGCCAAAGACGTCTATAGACGTCTTTTCTGTTTTTCAACGAGAGTGGCTGGGGGACGATCTGCTAAAGCTTGTCCGTAAATATCAGGCTTCTAGACAGAGTATGTAGTAACAAATTGACCCTCTAGGTGGCAGTGCCACTTTTGATGGGAGATGAGCATAGACTGTAGGCAAATAAGAAAAAGGTAACGGTTCGCTATGAGAGAACATGTCGCCGGTGAGACGCAAGTCGAGGAAGAACGGAATAAGGTAGAAACAAATTTTTTTCCTGATGAAAGAAGAGAGTGTACTCTTTCTTTTGGTGTGTTCGGTGTTTACATAGTCATAGCACAAACTATTCTGTGGCTCTTGAAAAATCAGTCAAAATGCTCAAAAAACTCTGGCAGTCAATGAGTTAATGTCTATATTGCCATGAAGCAATGACGATTTTCTAGCCTGAGAAAGTGTAGTAAATAGCTAGCTACCGTTAGCTACTGGTAGCTACATTAGCTAGCAGTGTATAAACTCCATTATTGAGCCTTTTCTCTCCCCCCCTTACAGGAGCTGTTCCTATTTAAATATTTAAACCAAC